CACAGACGCACGGAGAGAGAGAAATCTCATACAAGCATGTACACAGTCGGACATCTTCAGGTCCCATCTGAAGGCAGTCTGCTCCTGCACACCACACACACACCTCTCAGCGTAATACACACATGCACAGCTGGAAGGCTTTCTATCGTGGAGAGATAACTACAGGCTGAGAACAATAGACCATCTCTTCTCCCATCTGGTGAACCGGGGGATGAAACTTCATTTACATTTCAGACCCACCCCAACCCACCTCAGGGTGTGCATATGTGTTCGTGTGTGTGTGGGTGTGGTGAGTTTGTGGGGTAATAGAGGGAACAAAACGAGATTCATTTCAGGGTGAATTTGGGATTATGAATTAACACGCCGCTGTGCTGAAAGACTTCATTTACAGCTAATTGAGTGTGTTGGCTCATTGAAATGGCTGTTGTGTTAAAACTTGTCTGCCTGGCTGGTCTCTGGGCTGTCTGGGTGCGTGTGTGTGTGTTTGGAGAAAGCCAGGGGTGGTAACCTGTACATTAGCGAACAGCTGTAGTTTAGACGTGTGAAATTAGATGTAAAAATGATTATAAAATGTGACACCTTCCCCCTCTCTCTTCCTCTCTGTCTCTCCTTTGCAGGTGAAAAGCCCTACAAGTGCTCATGGGAGGGCTGCGAATGGCGCTTCGCCCGCAGTGACGAGTTGACACGACACTACCGCAAACACACCGGAGCGAAGCCATTCAAGTGCAACCACTGCGACAGGTAAACGGATAGACGGCACAAACACAGCAAACACACAGTGCAGTTTACATTTGGAGGACTTTGATGTCCTTTATCTGGCCAGGATAAAAAAATCGTTTTTAATATACAAGCCAAAGAGTTGTGTATCTGTAAGGTTTTGTTTGCACCTAATTATTTCCAGTTTGTTTTTGGTCATTGTGACACATTTCTATGTATAACTTAGCACTAATTAGCAGGTATCTCTTCCTGTGCGAACCACCCACACAGTCAATTGATGCACCCTGCAAAACAAATTCGCTTCCTTAGTTGACTGCACACTACTGTCTTATCCAAATATGGTCTCTTCTGCCTCCATAAAGCTAAATCAGAGATGGTGACTCCATCGAGCTGCTTCAGTGTTTCAGTGTAATTCCTGCCATTCTTGAAGGCTTCTTCTGCCGGGACAAGTCAAGATGGTTCCACCAAAAACCTCTGAATCCATTGATTGTTAGTCGTACTTTCACTTACTTGGAACTTCCACCTATGCTGAGCGGCGCATTGGGCAGCTAACGATCTCCATCGTCAGTCAGCGGCGACTGCTTCGGCTTCATCCCAGGCGATGTCGACAGTTTTCAGATCATCCATAAACGTTCGAAGCCATGTGATCTTTGGTCAGCCTCGCTTTCGCTTGCCAGTGTTGGGAACCATGTAATGGCAATCTTGGCCGGGCGATAAGGGGGTAGATGTAGAATATGGCACGCAAAGTGGAAGCGCGTTTCTGCGACAGCATCGGCTAAAGGGTGGGTGCCTGCTCTTTGCAAGAGCAAAGAGCAGGCCTCTTCATTTGCAACTCTGCAAATGAAGAGGTCTTCAAGTTGAAGCACAGCTTTATCAGTTTGAGTCAGAGCCATCTAGTAC